ACACGCCTATATTTTTTCCTGTGTAGCGCAAATATATGTGAACTGAATAAAAATTTTCTTGGATATTATCCATCGTCTAGTAAATATAAAACGTAAAACGACGTTTCGGAGATGGGACTCTATCTCCGTCTTATATATGTGTTTCACATCTCACTTCCTAATATTGTAATGACTTTTCGAAATTATCTCTAGAGAATTTTTATGTTAAATGCAACTTCATTTTTTTCCTTCGTTATTACAGAATGTGTTTTAACCGCAAGCAAACCGAGATATTTAGGAATTGCATAATTTCGGGCTCTACAGCTGAATGCGAGAACAAGGGTACAATTTAAAACTGCGATAATTTTCAGGGGCTCTGAATCCCACCAGACCATCTACCTCATTCGCCAACTCAAGAAATTACGTAAACATAAATAAAAATAACTTGTTTATTTTCAAAGCTGAGTTAAAGGCGGGAAAGTGAGGTTAAGTTACGTAATAATCCACGAAAGGCTTGGAATAAACACTCGGAACATTTGTTCTTAGTTGGTAGACTTTCCCAGCTTTGAAATTTTAATTTGGCGTTAATCCACTCGCTGCTTCCTTCCAAATCCGTACTTCAATTGTTTACTCGTTGCCGGGGTACGGCAGGTTCTGTGACGTAATAATAATCAACAGCACAGAATAACATTGTTACGAAATCTTATGTTGCCTAGGAACAGTGGTAAACATTGTGTTAGAAGTAAGTCATTCTTTGTTGAGAAAAGATTTGTGTGAGGATGTCGATCAAATCGAAAGCTCCGAGATTTAAGGAAGATCTGAGTAAGTACATTAACGCATTTCTGTTCATTCCTAATCGATTATTCCCGCACTTCATTCAACCGCTAATCTGTTTTAATATCGAAAAGATTTCAGTGAGGAATTTCATACCATATGCCGAGGCTTGCAACACACACAGATTCGAAAAACGAAGGCCTTTACTCAATCCATGTGATAGATCCATGTTATTTGAAATTCTACGTAAGAGAAATATACCTGACCCATTATTACAGGCAAATATATAAGATATACGAACACGACGAAATAAAAATTAAATTGAAATCGAAATTAACAAAATCAATTTGTATAAATAGAGGTGTAAGACAAGGCTTCCCTCTCTCACCAACAATTTTTAACATAATATATATGAATGAAATTGTCTCCGAGTGGAATGATGAGGACATCAATGGATTAAAACCTTCCAAAACTATCCTCTTTGCCGATGACTGACTCGAAAAATTCACTACAGAAATCTGTACATAAATCAGTGACGGTGGCTTCGAAATACAACTTAAAGTTGTCTACAGACAAGACCAAAACCACGGCTTTCAGAGGACAAAATCCCATCAGATCCAAGACAGTAATCAATAACACGATCATACGACAAATTAACGCATTTAATTATCTGGGATGAAACAGAAAAAGATCTCCCAGCAAAATTATCTAAATACTTACAAGTTACAGGCATCTCTAAACCCTCTAAAACCCCACCACAAACTAGACTGAAAACATATAAAACCTACACGAAACCTGGATAATGAAACAACGCAACAAATCGAGAATTGCATCAGCAGAGATGAAGTTTTTAAGAAAAACAGCCAAAAACACATGGAGAGATCATAAAAGAAATGACGTCGTCCACAAAGAACTACAAACAGAGGCAATATTGGGGAAAATCCACAGATACAAAAGGAACTGGATCCAACATGCACGAAGAATGGAGGAGGACAGATTGCCACATCAAATTTTGAGACATAAACCAAGGACGCCCTTTAAAAAGATTCCTGGGTCACAAGGCTCAAAGCTTGCTTTCCTCGTGCCTCTTAGGTTCACGTATTTTCAAACACCCCGCCCCCAAGAGATAATTCTTCACTTCCATAAAAAGCCTGTATTAGGGGAGAAGGGGGCTAGTTGATGCACGGGCAAGTTGTTATATTTTAGTTTAAGAATCACTCACTCGCAGCAGCACCTCACGAGTCTCCCCTGTGCGCAGTTCTACCCAAGGCATGGTACTTGTAGCTTGTGTACTACGTAGGCTGGGTTGATTTAAGTCTTTTTACCAGTAAACAGTAAAATTTCTCTTCTGACTTTGAACTCGCTTCAACGACCGTGTGACAAAGGCAACTTCTTTAACATTTCCTTACGTAAAACCCTTTATATTAAGAGCAACGCGTGTACTTCGTTCTTCACTTCAGTCGAATATTGACACTGCTTTGACCGTGAAATAAAAATAGCGTACTGTGGGGTCAGTTATCACACTGGACAAGGGGCAACTTGTTACGTTGTATCAGCGTGACCCGTATTTTTGCAATAACTTGCGTTGACAAATGACTGCATTTTACTTTCTTATCACGAAAGATGGTACGGACGTACAAAAGGAAGTCTCACAGAGGTAATACAAGTTTGGAAACGTTTATGTTAGCAGCTGACGAAGTCTCTTCTGGAAGAATCTCATTAAGGCAAGCTCCTAATACATGTTGAAAAAGTTTGAAGTTAATTTCTGCAATTAATTGCTTGATAAAGGTCTGAATTGTTCCTTCTGTTTACTAACACAGTTGTTGTAACAACTAGCACCATAACAGGGCACATTGTTACAAACGCCTTCTCTTAAATAAACAAGTTTTGTGATGAAAAAAATGAATAGGCCTTTGAAGAAATGTTATTAATATAGCCAAATAGTAGTAGTGCCTGAAGCCATAATTGATAACTTTGTAAATTTCAAGAATAAATGTACAAAAAATCTTAATTGAAAATTGTATCAACTAGCCACAGTCTCCCCTATTCAGTTTTAAATGTCTCCTACTTAACATGTGTGCAATTTTAAGTTTAAAACAATGTGGTCTGCAATGCATTCTGGGTTCTTTAGGCTGTGCGCCCCCTCCAACGAATTATAAACCAAACAACCAGCACAGGGTGAAGGGTGCCTCATTCGGTCAACAGACGAGCTCACGGTTTCACGAGGTGCAAAAGAGAAGCCAAGTTGGAGATGGAACAATGTCCAGGGTAAGTTTTTACTTAATTAACTTCCAAGAGTGGAGTCCTGCTTAAAAGGATGAAAGGCAATCAGCTGATCAGGTACCTGAGGGTCTATTACCATGTCCACAAGACCTTAACCTCAGGCAGATAAATCCAATCCACATCGTCACAACCTATTGATTGAAGAGCCATGCCAAGATTTTCCCTTCTTGATTTAATCACATTTTCCGAACCCCCACTGCCTTACGCTCAACACAGTCTTCAGCCCAGGTATTCATTTGGGGACCTCATTTAATCACAACTCATCTCAACACGTGGCTTACAGTTGAGACGTACCCACGCACGCATGCAGGCAGGCACAATGCTGAGGTGGTTAGGATGAGTACAGACTCCACCTTTTCACCGATTCCTTCCTCAGAGCACATAAAATTAATGCATAATGGGGCAGTAATATCTGTTCTTACACACGCTTCATCCCAAAACTACTGCTGAATGATTTTTCATTAAATTTAGGCTTAGAAGTCTACCCCAAAAGTTGTGGGGGAAATTTACTTCCATTTCAAATACATCCAGCACAAGCTCCTTGCATTATGATTCCATCTTCCTCATCTCCAAACGTGTCTCTGCGTATTCCTTTTGGTCCAGTGAACTGGAAAATTTTCCTCTAAGTTGTATTTTTGGCATCACAGCGAATGGATTTATACACCACATTTCATTACTTCTGGTTGTGGTGATACAATCACAGTGCAAAATGATTTTTGTTGTCAACTGTGATTTGTAAAACACATTTTGGTTAAGACCAAAACTGAGCTGTCTTAAGTACCATCGGTATGCACTCAATGTACCGTGTTGGATATGTACTACGAACTAATGTTGTTCATAAGCAGGTAAATCATACGTGGTTTTAGATGTTTACTTCTCTAGAAGTTGTGTTAAAAGCAACTCATCTGAAACGATAAACAATCACAGGTCCAGTTGGAGATCGGGCAATGAGGTTCTCCTATAACCTACAATCCTATTTCTTTCAGGAAAATAACAGAAGCACAACAGATTGCGAGCATCACAGTGCAAGAACGCACTCCATGAAGTCACGAGGTGCACCTAATGAGTCACCTTACACACGGAGAAGTAGCAGGAGGAGGGCTTCTTGTACCCCTGGGCCAAAAATAAATCATCTTTCAATCCTGGACCACCAAGACGAGCTCTCCCGAATGAACACAGAGTTCCGAACCAAAAAGAGCCAACTGTTTTCCATGAAAATGCAGTTTCTTAAAAAACAGGTGAGAATCTGAAAGTCAACGCTTATATTTCATATTACGCATTCTTTGTACGAAGAGCATGAAATGACAACCTCGGTTACTCAGCGTGTCCACATTCCGTCTGCAAGTTTCATGTCTGCAAGTATCAACATTTTGTTTACGAAACTTAGTATTTGAGGAAAAACATATCCAGTTTCTGAATCATTCTGTTCTTTTGAATACCAGACGATGGGCAAAGTCCAAGAATTTAGTGATCCCGAGTGTAACAGACAATTGTCAGAAGCCTTTAAAATAGCCTAAAAGTTGTTCGGTAAACTATTATGTGCCATTCAGGTCTAATTTATCCCTATCTCACTTCGACCTTAAATCAGACATCATCCGTGTCCCATAAAATAGCTAATCACAGAGAAAACTAGTGGATGATGTGAAATATCAACAGAGTGACCACCAAAACCATTAGACGGACGTAACACAGCAAAGAATTCGATAGCAAAATGGAGCTAAAAAGTGAATCATTGTGCATGGTTTTATTTCAGGACAAACTCATAAAACTGCACGAAAGCCTAACTGACCTTCATGAAAAGATTCTGAAATCGACGGGCAAAGATGTAGAAGTAGAAAATATTAAAATAATTGAATTCTGCCCCATGCAAGAAACCGGCGACGGACAAGATGAAGTCAATGGTAAGCTAAAGTATTCATGGCATTTTCCAGAGAATTTATATTATGTCTGATACAGTATTTTCATTCTTGAATGACTTCCCCGTTCCTTCTGCTGCCATCTGCAGTAATCACTTACATAGAGAAGCAGTCATGACTGAGTCGAGGTTTGAACCGGCCACTTTATGAGTTACGAAGTCAGTCCTTTAAAGAGTTATAAAATCAGCCACTTAGCCTGGGGAGTGACTGTGCGTCAGTGAGGTAGCCAATGAAGTGGTGAGTCACTGTGTCTATTAGTCAGAAAGCCAGTCACCAAGCCACCAATTCAGGCTCCCGAGTTCTTAGCCGCAAGCTTCCTGCAGACCAAGCACGACAAGAGGTCAGATCTTTCTTTGTGGTTCTCTGTTTTGCTTTCTTTCCTTCCCAAATTCTTTTCATTCTTGCTTCATCAAATTTCCCAAAGTCCATCCAGGCGAACGCCAGTAGAGTGCCTTAAGTCAGTCCACAGTCGCTTGCATCCGTATCCTCCTGAGTCCGTTTGATGCTGTGCGGTCTGCATTAAACAGAATGCAAATAACCTAAAAGTTTTTCTCTGTTCCACGCCTTCGTCTTACGTTCATTGACTGCGTTCTTAAAAATATTCTTATGCATGCAACAATGTTGCAGGTGATCACGTCCTTAGGCATGAGGACAGAGAGAAACCGCAGTCAGAGAAGACCAAGGCTGCAGACGAAGAAAGTACGGAATCGAAGGAGGAAAATGATAGAGCTCAATCGAGGTTTGTCTTGCATTCAATCCATTTCCTTTGTAATCCTGTTCTCCTTCTACACGATATTATCCAAATCTTAATTATCTTTCTCCAAACCAATTCCATGGCACAGTTTTCGTTGAAAAGTCAAAACTCACAAGGTCAATAAATTACGTGTTATCGTGCATTGAAAAGTATCACGACTGTATTCGCAAAAGCAATAATCTGTTATGAGAGCCAGCCACTAGACACAATCTGAGCCAGTTTAATCCCACCCACCCATCCAGGGTATATCCCTATGACATAGATAAGTAGCTGTCTGGTACCATCTTAATGTTGCCCTCCCATGTCCTCCTTGATCTTGCAAGAGGCCATCTTCAAAGAGGTTTCCCCATCAAATTCTGTGTGCATGAACTCAATGTAACTTCATTTCTAATGCCACGTGACATGAAAGTCGCAATGTTCTGCATTATATTGCATTGTGCGATGCACATAATACCTTAAATTCCCCACTTCATCACTCTTGGGTTCTTAGCAATTTATTTTCAAGCGCTTTTAATTTATATTCTTCCCACAAGGCGTCAGACGCCACCAGGAAAGCAGCTCGTCAGTCATCATTTCTTCCAAGTCAGAAAAGGTTTTGTATCTACAGCAAAGATGCCAACTGCTCCCATATGTTCCGTCCTCTAAGGTCGATTTTACCATCTCATTTGTGTATGATTGTGACTCTAAAGCCACAAAATTTATGATTCTTGTTTTTTCTGTGTGCGCAGCAAATCCCAAAATGACCTAAATGAAGAGAGAGAGAGGGACAGCAGAGATCGTAAGAAAAAGGTAAGCCATAACAAGGAGAAGTGAATTTCACAAATTATTACCTGCACATTTCAAGTGTTCACTCAAAGTTACTCCGTAACAAAATTGATCGCACTGACCTCTTCTTTCTTCTGCTCCTTATTCTCCTCCACTCCATTTTGTTTTCTCTTCTCTTCTCTTTGCAGATAATACTCCCTCCTCTTTTCCTCCTCCCCGCTTCTTCTGCATTCCACGTAGACTCAGCTCCCCCTCCCTTCAGTCCGACTACACGAACTGACGACGTCTCTCTGCATCTCGAGAGCGAGATTTCTCTATTCTCTTGATATTTGTTGTCAGTCACTTGATTAATCTGCAAAACACTTTTCTTCTTCACTTCTCTCTGCATCCCTCACGCTGAATTGATCTACACTGAAGATGG